TATGAGAAAAAAATAAAGATTTTTTTATTATGAAAACATAGTTTTTATTTTATTATGAGAAAAAATAAAGCTTTTTTTATTATGAAAAACTGAGTTTTTATTTGGTTATGAGAAAAAAAATAAAGTTTTTTTTTTAATGAAAAACAGAGTTTTTATTTTAGATTTATTAAAGGAAAAAAGATTAATTAAGGAAAATATTATATTAATTATTACTATTATTAAATCATAAACTAATAAAATAATAAAATAATAACTAATTAATAAAAATAAAGAAAAAAAGAAAAGAAACATAATTGAAAGGGGAGGGGGAAACGAATCATTTGTTATTATAAGGGGTTTTTCATCTTCTTCATTCTCTCTGTCCCACGCGGCGACCATTAAAGCTTCAAAGAGCTTTTCGCCCCATTTTTCCAAAGTTTCTCTCATCTCTTTCGCATTGCATGTGCGGTTCCTCTCCCGCTGAATGTGTCCCTGAAAAAAAACCATGAAAACAAAACCATAAATCAATTTTGATAAATTTCTTACGGAATAACGGTCGGATTCGAAGCTTCTATCGGACGATGGTGGTGAATCTTTGATCTTGATGATGAAGCCTTGAAGGTTTTTCAAAAATCTCCCGCTTCTGATAAGTCGTGAGAACGACCGCCGTTTTTTCCTTTTTGTCTCCTTCCCCGTTTTCTCAAATACAACTTATGTTTATATAGGTAACAAATTAGGGTTAACTCTAACCTAATGCCCACTTTAAAGCCCAACTTAAAGAATTAGTCAAAACTAACTAAAATTAAAACAAATTAAAACAAACTTAAAATTCTATTTATTTATACTAAACATTAAAAAGTATTATAAAAAGAATAAAATCTTTTTACAAATTTAAACAAACTTTATGATTTTTGGATGTTTTTATGAATAATATGAAAAAATAATATTTTTAAAAAATAATTTAAATAAAATACGAAAATAATAATTAAATAATAAAAAAAACTATTTTGTTATTTTTTTAATGAAAATAGAAAAGTTAGAATAAAAATAAAAGAAACAAAACAAAAAGTGAAGAAGGTGGGATTCGAACTCTCAACCTCTCACACTCACAACTCCTTACACACGATCTCTTGCCAATTGTGCCATTTTATTCATTCAAAATAAAGTGGCACTAGAAACTATGTAAAAGTAGGACAAATTTGGGGTGCAACAACATGCTTGTACCGCCGTTGAGAGACACCCTAATCTCGTATTGTGATCCCTTACTCGAACCGGACTCTGATACCACTGATGGGTCATCATGAGGGGGAAGCATACACATTGGGTCAAACATTCACCTAAAAATCAAATACTCACCCAAACAAGTGAGAAAGACACCACATATTCACCAAAAATCTTAAGGTGATAGGTGTATGGGTCCTCTTACTTATAAATTGCTTAACCTCCACTTTTCTAAGCAATGTGGGACTTAGAACTCACACTTGATTCTCAACACAACTCACACTTGTTTCCCAACATTTACTAATATTCATATCTTCTGCAACACACTAAAAAAAACAAAACTACTTTTTGATGCAACTACATGTGGTTCCTTAATGTCTAAGAGTGTTGGAGATGGAATTGTTATTATATAAGTCATGGCGGGTTAAGACATGTATCTGGTAACTCAATGAACATAAAAAATAGAGTTTTCATGGTTAAAAATATCAAAGAAGTAAACACTACAAATTGACTTACCCTTATGCAAATCTTTAATTAAAATAGGAGGCCTTGCCATCCTTCAAATTACAAAAGTTGTTATTGTATGAAAACAATTATGATATAACATGACATTAAACATAATGCATAATAAAGACAAGTTAAACATTGTATGACATTTGTTAATTTTAAACATGAAAATACATTTTCTCAAGCAATTGAGTCATTGTTGTGAAATGACTTTAGTCACGATAATTAAAAAAAATGAAAGTCGATTTTAACTTATGTGTGGTATTTGAATCAAACTCTAGTTTCAACAGGAATAATCTCATGGTTCGATAAAAGTTTAGCACGTAGTCGAAATCTGTTCACATGCTGATTATATATGTCGTAGTCGAAGTATGCTCAAACATACAGTAGTCGAAATGTCAGGATTGTTAGCAAGTCGAATTGTGTCTTGCTTGTAAGCCCAATTTTTAAGTTAACATGTAACTTGAGTTAACTTAGTAGTCTATAAATAGACTAGTTTTCTCAGGTTGTTAAGTGAGGTTAATTGTTGTTATTCACTTGTAATCTTTGAACCCTTATTGAGTAAGTGAATAGTAAAACAGTTTTAACCAATCCTAATTTCTTCTTCTTCCTTCTCTCTCTCTCTCTCTCTCTCTCTCTCTCTCTCTCTCTCTCTCTCTCTCTCTCTCTCTCTCTCTCTCTCTCTCTCTCTCTCTCTCTCTCTCTCTCTCTCTCTCTCTCTCTCTCTCTCTCTCTCTCTCTCTCTCTCTCTCTCTCTCTCTCTCTCTCTCTCTCGTGTAAAACCCAATAAAATTTCTAGTGTTTGTTCAAGAAACTCAATCTTTCTCATATTTTGATTTGTTCTCGACGACATCGTTTCACAACATCATGTAATGTAATAAGTACAAAACACAAACAACCATTCATAGTTTTTTTCTTTCACTTTTTCTAACTCACAACAATCTTTAACTCGATAAAAAAAGAAAAAAATATTGTTTAACTCATTTTTCTTTGTTTTTAGCGTAACCATTAAAATTCATTCCTTCACATTTTCTAACCCACATAAACAATCATTGATAAATAAACTCATACAAAATTCAAAAACAAACCTGAACTCTAACAAAGAAGAAATTATGTTGTTATTTAGGTGGTGAATAACGTAGGAGAAATATTCATTCACAAATCAACTCATACAAATTTAAAAACTCACATGAACTAAAAATGAGCTACTTGTACACATTACACATTATAGTTTATTGACACACAAAAATGACTTAAACCTACAAAACATACATACATACATTGAAGGAAGGAGAGAGTTACCCGAAAAAAGTTAAGGATATAGGTGATTATGAAAAATACTTTTGCTTTGCTTTGATTTGATGTTAAATGGGAGGGAGAATAAGAGCTAAAAAAAGTGAAGAATGAATGAGTTATGAAAAAAAAATTAGAGAATAGTCATTATGGAGAAAGGAGAGAAAAATTGGTTGAAGTATGATAATAAGAAAGGAGAGACAAGTGAATCTACCAAAGGAGATGGAAGTCAAATTAATTGATTGATTGTCCATTTAACTTCAAAGACATTATTTGTCTTGGTTATAGTAGATGATTTACTTAATTATAATTTTGGCTTTTTTATTTTATTTGATTCATAAAATTGATTAAATTTATTTGAAATTTAAACAATTTAATTTTCTCTTATATTTTTTAACTTAAAATTAATAATATTTCCATTTTCTTATCGTATATAAATCTATTGTAAAATTTTATAAATAAAAATAAATATTAAAAAATAATATTTAATCAATTTTTTTATAGAAAAATGCGAGAGATTTGTGAAAAAAAATATTAAAAAATGAATATTTAATTGATTTTTTATAAAAACATGACATTATTTTTTATAATATATAAGAGGATTAATTTTGTAAATCATATAAAATTGAGGATCAAAACTGAAATTTAATCTATTAATTTTATCTTTTATTGCTTGAATTTTAATAATAATTTATTTCTTACAAAATATACCCAAAATAGAAGATATATAAAAAATACAAACAAATAAAAAAGAGTTTATCAATGTAAATAAATGTTACACAAATATTTTATTCAATTATAAAATATTTTAAAAATAAAAAAATAATGGAGCTGTCTGTAATTAATTAACAATATAAAAATATTTTACATTACTAGTATATATATATATATATATTTTTAAAAAGAATATATTAAAAATGTAAATGACGATCATACGTCTTGTCAAATTAAACTTAAAATTTTAAATTAATTAAATAATATAACTGAATGAATATATTATTATTAAATGAAAGTGTACATCCCCGTTAAATCTTCCTTTTTTTTAATAAATAAATACTAAAATAATTGTTTTTGCACACAATGCATTATATTACTATTCTACTGAACTAAAATAAACGAAATCCTGGGTCATATACACGTACTTAATTTATTTCTTACAAAATATACCCAAAATAGAAGATATATAAAAAATACAAACAAATAAAAAAGAGTTTATCAATGTAAATAAATGTTACACAAATATTTTATTCAATTATAAAATATTTTAAAAATAAAAAAATAATGGAGCTGTCTGTAATTAATTAACAATATAAAAATATTTTACATTACTAGTATATATATATATATATATTTTTAAAAAGAATATATTAAAAATGTAAATGACGATCATACGTCTTGTCAAATTAAACTTAAAATTTTAAATTAATTAAATAATATAACTGAATGAATATATTATTATTAAATGAAAGTGTACATCCCCGTTAAATCTTCCTTTTTTTTAATAAATAAATACTAAAATAATTGTTTTTGCACACAATGCATTATATTACTATTCTACTGAACTAAAATAAACGAAATCCTGGGTCATATACACGTACTTAATTTAATTATTCTAATATAAAAAAAAAGAAATAAATAAATTGTTCTCATAATATAAAAAAATAAAATAAATTCTGGGCATCATCGTGAGATCTCAACCGAGGGTTAGGTTTGCAACCTAGAACAGTTTTGCAGCGTTCATTCAAATTCAATCCTAATAAATCAAGCTCTGCAAAAGGTTAGTTACAATTAGGTTTTTATTTCAATTCGATTCGATCGATACCAAATCCTTTCGATTCATTCAAATCTCTGCACAATTCGCTTATCCGATTCATCAAATCTGCAACAGTATGTTGTTTTTGAGTTTGCACTTCATCTAAGATCAAGCTCGATCTGAAGTTAACGCGATTTGATCAATTTGCGTTTGGTTGTTTCAGGAGCGAAGGAAGGAAAAACGAACGATGATGGCGCCGTTACTTGCTTTGATCGTTGTACTTTTCATTCCAAATGGAATTTTTGCAAGTCCTTCCACAGTTCCGGCATTCCTTTGGTCGTCTCATTATAATCTGTAATAATTTTTCATTTTGATTTTTCATTTGATACTCTCTATTACATTGGTTAATTAGCATATCTTCGTTATAGAATCAATTATTTTTATGCTGTCTCATTTGTGTTTTTATGTTTATGTTTATGCTTCCTTGCAATTTGCTAGCTAACTATTGTCGATTTATGTTTACTTTAGGAGATAGAAAAAGGTTTTGTAGTTCTCTCAAAGGGTTTAGGAGTGATAGTAAAAATGTTGCAAAATGGAACAAAGGAAAATTTTGAGTAGGAGTTGAAGTCTAGTAATAATACTGTAATACCAATACCCATGTGTCAACAGCTTTAGGTTTCTTTTTGAATTGCTGTATTTGATTTGTCACAGACATGGGCATGGAATATTATAAGTTTGCAGATTTTGTGGTTTTTAAGGTGTATAGTAAAGAATGAAAGCTGCAGATAATCAGATTAACATAAAGAATGTTTAAATGAAAAACTTAAAACTTTGGTAAAATATACAAAACCCATATTTAGTTCTTGTTTTGTCTTTAGTGGCAATACTGCTAATGTGTTAGATGCTTCTTGTTGTAATTGTACGCACCTGTACCATGTAAGGATGGGGTTGTAACTTGTAACTGGATAATCCTTGAGTATTCATGTCTCATGGTTACACTATGCTGTTCAACATATCAGAAAATTGTTTATAACTTACTGGACCTTTGCAGGGTCTCAGACAATGGATTGAAGGGGTCCGTTAATTATCAGGTCATTTCTCCAAAAGACCTAGCGAAATCTGTTTTATCTGAAGCAGGGTGGTCAAATTTTCTGGTATTATACTAATCTCCAAGACTACTTTCGTATTATGTATTATGCAGTTCTCTCCCTCATTCTCTTCTCGACCTTTAAGTAGAAGGGATTGTTATTTTACTTTCTATTAATGCTAGCATTTATTCCGTTTTTGTTTCTTCTATCATTGTCGCTGCTGCAGTATTTTTAATTTTCCTGTTCATTTTTTTTGGATAGTGTAAAGGGAAGAAATTTCAGGATCCTCTCGATCTGGCACTTATATTTGTTGGTGGAGAGGTAATATCTCATCTATATAGATAGTTTGTGTTGCAGCTTTACTATTATGCATTTGTTGTTTACTTGATCTTTAGAGATTCCTATCAATGAGTGCAGTGGCATTGCTTCAATGAACTATGTTACATTTTACCTTTGCAGTTACAATCTTCAGATTTAAGTTTGAATGCAGATTCATCACTATCAGAGTTGCTTAAGGTGAGAATCGTGACATGCAGTTTATTAAGGTTTTTGTGCCAACCTGATTCAGGACAGTTAATGATATGAATTTGACTGTGACCTTTTCCTTTGTCCATTGTCATGCACAGGACTCCTTTGTCAGATCCAACACTTCCATGGCATTTCCCTATGTTTCAGCATCACAGGATGTAAATTTGGAAGATTCATTGGTTTCAGGATTTGCTGAAGCCTGTGGAGACGATTTAGGAATTGGCAACGTTGCTTTCCTTGGATCCTGCTCCATGGGCAATGGAAATCATGAAGAAACTGCAGCTTTGCACTCAGTTCAAGTAATATACAAATTCACGTCACATGACCGATTATGGAATTTTAGGTGCTGTTCTTGTAATGGTGCATGACGCTCTTTATTGTCCATTATGACTTTACAGGGCTATTTGACCCAGAGGATGGAAAAGAGTCACAAAGGGAAAACAGATTTGCTTGTGTTCTGCAATGAACAATCTCAAGCTTCGAAAAATGTTGACAGAACACAATCTGAAGGTACCTCTACTTCAGAGTTATGGGCTTTTGCCAGAATAGTCTTATCATCAGCTGAATTCTCATGCATGTTGTATATGTTTAGGTGAAATTTTATCCGAGCTCATCAGCTCTGTAGAGAAATCTGGGGCAAAGTATGCAGTTCTTTACGTGTCAGATCTCTCGAAGTCAATCCAGTATCCTTCTTACAAGGAACTGCAAAGGTTTCTAGCAGAAAGTACAATAGGAAATGGATCAGTCAATTCTACAGTTTGTGACGGTGTTTGCCAGCTTAAATCATCGCTTCTGGAGGGGCTTTTTGTGGTAAGCTTCTTTGCCAATTTTTACAAGTGCAGTGTGTTGATAACTTGGGAGGTCTTATGGATTTATCTTGCATCTCTAACGAATATGCTAATCTGACAAGAGAAAATCTTCAGAGTAAAACATGATATAGTTACAACTATATACCACCTATATTTTTTCATGTTCCATTTTCTTCTTATGTCTTCCCCTTTCTTTCTCTGTGATTAAATTCTCTGGTACCACAAGTTTACTTCATTAGCATGCTTGTATAGGTTTCTGAGTTCTGACTTAATTCCTCAAATTTTAATTATGCAAGCATGAAAATATTTCCCGTAGTATTTGAACATTCTAAGCATCCTCGCTTGGAAGGTCTTCGGTCTCTTTTTTTAATTTTATTTTTATTTGCTTCCCTATAGGCTATTCGGTTGCTTTATATTTGGTTTGTCTTAAAACTTCTAGCCACTATTGCGTGGCATCTTTTCTTGTAAAGCTGCTGTCCTTCAATCTGATACATGAAAATTGTTAAGATCAGCTTGTATAAATATCTATAAACATACTATGTTGAGGATTGCATATTGAATTATTGATGTGGTTTGCATCAACTGAATCTCAAATGGTATAATGTCAGTAAGTTTGTGAGCAAGATCATGGAATCGGATGATCCTATGACTAACACCTCAATCCGTGCTGGATTGCCTATAGGATTAGCCACCATTGGATCTCAAGTTGGTTTCATGACCAGTGTCGTCAAATATCGGCCATGGCGGATATCAGCGGCGGCTTTTAGGATCTCCACCATGGCCAAATATGTACAGGATGGCAATGCCATGGTGCTACATTCCGATATGGTGGCACCATATGTCGGCTGTTATTGTGGGGTTTTAGGATTTTGGCTCTCCATCATGGTCTACCTTCGATAACACTGGCCATGACCGATTTTCCCTCAATCTGGGCCGGGTTTATTAACAGAAAAGCCTTTTTTAACTAAAAAATTAATATGAAAATTGTTGGGTTTTGATAAAAACAGGTTTTAAGCAAAAGTAAATAGAAAACATAACATTGTTCCTTTCCTTCATTGTGTGCAAGTCGCTCTGTTCAGAGTCAAAATAACAACACATCCATTTATTCTCTACTGCTGTCTCTCACACCTTCCTCTACCTGCAACTGCGACACGACTTCGTCCCTCTTCCCTCTGTTTCCCTGTTCCTTGCAAGTTGTATGTGGTTCCTCTGTTTCTTGTGAGTTCATCCACTGTTCTTTTCTTCCGTAAATGTTTATGATTGGACTGTATTGACCATTAAACTCAAAATTGATTTTTCTGAAGTTTAATAATATTAATTATCCGCATAACACTGAATGGTGGAAATCAGCTCTTACTATACTTGATACAATGCCCGAAACAGCTATAACAGCATTTCATTAAAATTTGCATCTACGTTTGACATTTGGCTTAGTTTGGGTCCTACAGAGTAGGAGTTTGTCTTTTGTGATTTATTTTCCTGTTTAATGGCATCTTTTTAGCATTATGGGAATAGCATCTTCTTAGCATTATGGGAATATTACAACATTTATGATATCCTGATGAGACTTGCTTTTGTGATAATCCAGGGAATAGTTTTGTTAATAATTTTGATATCGGGACTTTGCTGTATGATGGGGATTGACTCCCCAACAAGATTTGAGGCGCCTCAAGAGTGATGATCCATTTGTTAAAGCTAATAATTGATCTGGTGCTGGGTCTACTTCATTAAAATATTACTGCTACATTATTTATGATTTTTATGGAGGCTAGGTTGAATGTCCTGTAATTTTTTTACTTATTTTAAGGGACTTTTCATGTTGAATATTAAAATATAATGCGTATAGGTTTTAATTTTGATCCTGTTGGTCTTGTAAAATTTTAAGTAAGAAGCAATTACTGAATATGTTTAAGTGTTCTGTTTTCTCATCTTGAATGCTGTCTTTCTTCATGCTGTGCTTTGTCACTCTCTTCACCCTTAATTTTACTAAAAAGAGAAATATTATTGACTTTAAAAATTGAAACTAAAGCTTTTAAATTGGCTTTAAAAAAATAAAAAAAGCAACCAATTGAAAAACTAATAACATGACTATCAATTAGTGACAACTGTTAGTATAGAGTCTGCAGGACTCCAATTGATAAGCTAATAATTAATACAATGACTATCCACTGGTGACATCTGTGCATGCAAGAGTCTGCAGCACCCCCTAGAAAATTGGAACCACTAACCTTTCAACTGATAAAACTCCAAAAAATAAATAAATAGTATTCTTTCATAATAGTTAACATTATGCTAGTAAAAGATTATGTCATTTTTTATTTTGAGTATAATTTTATACTACAATTCACGCAACTGTAGATATGTTCTCTAATTTGTGATTAGAGAAAAAAAGATTTTTATATTCTCAATTAATGAGAGACCCGGATCCTCTCGCATCATATTTTTATTTTTAAAATAATTTGATAGTGTAAAATATTTTGATATGATATCTATGTAATATTTTTTAATATTATTGTCACTGACAATATATCAATAAATAATAAAAAAAAATTAGTAAACTCATCATTATCATTATTTATTTCTTCTAATATTTGTCTTATTTTACCCTTTTATATTTGTTAAGATCAAAATTTAAAAGGAGAAAATTTTTTTTATACAATTCTTTATATTATTATTATTATTATCATAAATGTTACATGAATAAGAGTAATAACTTTTGGACGTGACTCCCATAACATGAATAAAAGGAACAATTGAAAATGGAGTATAATATGAAGTTTGTTTGGTTTTACTTGGATAAAAAATATTGATTTCAACTGAATTAATTCTATAAAATTAAATATGATTAAAATTGAGTTGAAAATAAAACAATTTACAATATGTAAAACTAAATTGAATCTTCAATTTGAGTGTGAAAATCATGTTTAGTGTATGTTTGCTTTTATTTTGGAGAGCCCAAAATGATTTTAAGGAGCGTGATTACCAAAATATAATTAATTACAAATGTAAAAACAATGTTATTTTAGATAGTACGAAATTATATTAGAAATTAAAAGTACTATTTCATAAATTACTTAACATTAAAAGTGGCAATTTGTTAATTTTTTTTCTTTCCAAATATGATAAATGTATGTCTCCATTTCAAGAGAATAATTCATGAAAAATGTGAAAAGGATAAATCTGTAGATAAAGTTGAGTCAGAACCGTTCAGACTTAAATGGAGTTGCTGAGCCAATAGGCGAGGCATAAATTCTCACTAATCGGTGCAAAGTTTTAAAATAATATTTTTCTTTTAAAACAGTATCACTATTTTTCGTATCATATGGAGTAACATAATTTCTGAAAATATCTTGACAAATAAATTGAATATTTTTACTAAACGTATCTGCTAAGTAACCAAAAAGAAATAATTATACAACAACATTCATATGATATTTGTGTGATTGTTCACAAGTATGGTGTAGATTTAAGCACATGTAACCCTCACATTTAATTTCCTTACTTCCCACCCATATTCTTCTATCCGTTCATACCCAAAACATTAACTCTCTCTCTCTCATCTTTTCTCTCTCTTCATAATTTTTCCATGCTACTATTCCATTAGGTACAGCATTAATTGTTAGTTGTTTGGTATTTGTTGTACACATCCATATTCTTATCTCTTTTAAGCTTATTATTTTTATGTTACACTTGATAATTATTCAAATCTCTTTACCTTCATTCAACTCAACATGGAGATTGAAGCATCAAGTGGTGGTAGCAACAACAACAAAAGATGCAACATGGATGAAAGTGAAGAAGAAGATGAACCATATTGTGGCATTACTACTAGAGGAAGTTTCTTAGCATGGGAAGATCTAAGAGTTATTATACCAAATTTTGGTAAAGGACCAACCAAAAAGATTCTTAATGGCCTTCATGGTTTTGCTGAGCCTGGTCGAATCATGGCTATTATGGGCCCTTCTGGTTCTGGAAAATCAACTTTGCTTGATACTCTCGCAGGTTTGATTCATTACTTATTATTTTCCTTACACATCTAATCACTATTATAAGAAAATATTCTCTTTTCAAATTCATTATACAGTAACTGTTCGATGAATCTGAAAAGAAAATCTTTGACTTATAATAGTAACTAGAAAGAAAGTTACATGTTATAATGATATATTTTCAATCGCTCAAACATGAGTCAAATTCTTATATTTCAATTGGTTAATCTATTTTGAGATTGTTTTCTTGGATTGTGTGTTTGATTTGAATTGAATCTACTATATTGATTTTTTTTTAATAAAAAAATTCAATTCAATGGTAGTGAAACTAAAGGGCCATTGTTTAAATGGTTTGGTCTATGGTGGGGTATGATATTATTTTCTAACATTAAAATTGCATTACAAATGATGTACCACTTCCAAACCAATTCTCAAAAGCCAAATCCATATTGCCATTTTGATGATATTTTTTAATTTATTTTTCTACTTTTAAATAATTACACAGAAATAAAATTAGGGTTTTATTATAATTGAAACTTTTTAAAGTATTGATTTTTCAAACTTTTTACTAGGTAATAAATTGGCGGTATATAGTTGCCATTGAAAAGGAGAAGTTAATTAGAAGTATATTAGTTCTCTAAATTTATGTTACATAACTACATCTTGAATTTTGGTGGTTGGAATTGTGAGATTAGAAAATTTTAGTTAAATTCTTTAACCTAACCTGTGGACTTTGATAAGGGTATATTTAATGAGCATGAGACTGTAGTTGTGTTTACTTAAACAAATTAATTAAAATTTTATTTCATAAATTTCTACTACTATTATAAAGAATTTAGTTAAAAAATACTACTCCGTTCCATATTATATAGATTAGATATATTAATTATTGAATGAATCTGAAAAGTAAATTTTACTTTATTTATTAAATAGTATAGACTAAATATGACCTATATGATTATGAAATTCTATGAATATTGCCAAATTACACTTTAAAGCTCCATGCCCCATGTAGTTAGTTGGTTGGGACCATATATAGATGTTTTCTTTGTCTTGTTATTTCAACTTGTAATGGGATTTGGCCTCATATTACCCCTTCATTCCACCTATCAATCATAATCATATTAGCATCAACATTAATCACAAGTTAATTTCCACTCCTTTCAAATATCACTAGTCTTTTTTAAAAACTATTATTATTATTTTATTTTTTTATATAGAACTAATGTTTTTGAATATTTGAATGTGTCAATATTTTGCAGGTAGACTCTCCAAAAATGTTGTGATGACAGGAAATGTTCTTCTCAATGGGAAGAAAAAGAATCCAGGCTATGGTTTTGTTGTAAGTAATGCTTTTCTTTTCAGATGATAACCAATGTGAAAATCATAATCTCTAACTATCGAAACTAATCGACGAACAATTTCGAATGATGTTGAAACTTCAGGCATACGTAACACAAGAAGATGTGTTATTGGGAACTTTGACAGTAAGAGAAACTATAACATATTCGGCGCATCTACGTCTTCCAACGTCAATGTCGAAAGAAGAAGTTAGCGGCATAATCGAAGGGACAATCATAGAAATGGGCCTTCAAGACTGTGCTGATAGGTTAATAGGTAACTGGCATTTGAGAGGTATAAGTGGTGGCGAAAAGAAAAGACTTAGCATTGCACTTGAAATTCTCACAAGGCCGCGATTATTGTTTCTCGATGAACCGACCAGTGGATTGGATAGTGCTTCAGCGTTCTTCGTTGTTCAAACTCTTCGAAACGTTGCTCGTGATGGAAGGACTGTTATTTCTTCTATTCATCAACCTAGTAGTGAAGTCTTTGCTCTTTTTGATGATCTTTTCTTGCTTTCTGGTGGCGAAACTGTTTATTTTGGTGAAGCTAAATTGGCAATTGAGGTATAGTTTTTTTCTGTCCAAATGGAAAAGTTTAATATACTACTACGGCCTACGGGTTAAGTATGTTTTTCGATTTCTTGTGCAGTTTTTTGCCGAGGCTGGTTTCCCTTGTCCGCGTAAAAGAAATCCTTCTGATCATTTCTTAAGATGTATCAATTCTGATTTTGACGTCGTAACGGCTACACTAAAGGGATCTCAAAGGGTTCATGTATGTATACTTTCCTTTGTAAGATCTAATTTGATTTTCATGGCAACCTTATTCACATGGATTTGTTTTTTTCCCACTTTTTCTCCGTTATTAGGATGTTCCGAATTCAGCAGATCCTTTTATGAACATGGCAACAGCACAGATTAAGGAAAGGCTAATAGAGAGATTCAGGCGTTCAAATTACGCGAGAAGAGTAAAAGACAAGATCCAAGAACTATCAACTCATGTAAGCATTCCTATAATTCCCGAACGAAATCCATATGATGTTCTGTGTGTCAGTCCCGTATCTGGTGTCTGATTCGGTCAGTGATAAATGTATTACAGGAAGGGCTTGAAAATGAGGCCAAATATGGAAGCCAAGCTAGTTGGTGGAAGCAACTCTCTACACTGACAAAGAGATCATTTGTGAACATGAGTAGAGATGTTGGTTACTATTGGTTGAGAATTATAATCTACATCATTGTATCTATATGCGTTGGAACTATCTATTTTGATATTGGTTATAGCTATACTTCAATCTTGGCTCGCGGCGCGTGTGGTGCATTTATATCAGGATTCATGACTTTCATGTCAATTGGAGGGTTTCCATGCTTCATTGAAGAAATGAAGGTATGATATGTCCGTCTGTTGTTTTCAGTTTATTTTCATAAGTTCTTTCATATATCTCGATATAACTTTTAGTATATGTTGAGCTTACGGTCATTTCTTCTTTGAAACAGGTATTTTATCGAGAAAGGCTTAATGGATATTATGGCGTAGCGGCGTATATTTTATCGAACTTTCTATCATCGTTCCCATTCTTGGTTTCTATAGCTGTTACTTCTAGCACCATCACATATAACATGGTGAAATTCAGGCCAGGATTCATTCACTTCGCGTTTTTCGCTCTCAATATCTACGGATGCATCTCAGTGATCGAGAGTCTCATGATGGTTGTAGCTTCACTTGTTCCGAATTTCCTCATGGGAATCATTACAGGAGCTGGAATCATTGTAAGTACAACATGACTCAGAAAATTCTACTCGAAACACCTACCCGATCCACACGTGTTAATATTTCTCATCCATTATTGTTCATGCAGGGAATCATGATGATGACCTCTGGATTCTTTAGGTTGCTATCCGATCTTCCAAAACCAGTTTGGCGCTATCCAATTTCGTATATCAGTTACGGCGCATGGGCAATACAGGTACCTAACTTCATATTGAAAGCGTGTCTGGTGTCTGATGTTTGATACATATAAGTATCTCATACTATCACAACACACACACATAAAATTACATTCAATTACTTTTATTTTTGATTTAACTATAAATAATTTGGACGCAGGGTTCATACAAGAACGACTTACTCGGACTCGAGTTTGAACCACTGGTTGCCGGCGACCCGAAACTGACAGGAGATTATGTGATAACACACATGTTAGGGATTGAACTAAGCCATTCAAAGTGGTGGGACTTAGCAGCACTGTTACTGATTCTGATATGTTACAGAATTCTATTCTTTATTGTTCTCAAATTCAAGGAAAGAGCATCACCATTGTTTAAAAACCTTTATGCAAAAAGAACCATACAACAGCTAGAGAAAAGACCTTCATTCAGACAAATGCCAGCTTTTCCTTCATTGAGGCATCAACCACTTCACTCACTATCTTCTCAAGAGGGTCTTGATTCTCCACTTCATTACTAGAAGAACAGCAACTACAAACAAATAAACATATATACGTTATAGTTATAATTGATTTCTGTTGGATTTTCAGATATTAGTGGCTTTCTTCTATCTGGTTATTTGATTAACACACAAAAATTTGCATTTGTTTTTGTTAGTTTATATGTATAGAGGAAATGTTTCATGACTATTCCAATTAAGATAAGAAATATGGGACATTTTCTGTCCTTGGATTACATTTTTTTTTTTAATTGAATTTTCTGAGATTAAATTTCTTAATGTAAGTGTCAAGTTTGTTGGTCATAGATTCTCAGGCCAAAATCCACTGGGCGAATTTTTCAAATTTGTTGGCCGAAATTTCATAATTCGTCTCCCGACCGAGTGTCGTCTTTGCAATCCTTTCCTGCCATGGCTCTCATCGAGACAGGACATTCATGATACTACAAGTTCATAGTTAACACCGGGCGAAGAATAATCACAGAGACGCCCACCATAGGTACTAAAGGATCTCGGACATACATCCAAAACATCAACAGGCTGAGTTCAATACAATAGAGTGGGACAAGCTGATTCACCTGCTCTGTCTTGATATCGATTGAGATAATAACCCCGAGACTAAATTTGATTCCATCGACGACCTACTGATGAACTACCCCGTCATCAATACTATGGAGCAGTTTATCAAGAGGAATAAGATCCGAGAACACTAGATAAGGAAATGCAGACTTCCCAAGGATGAATATCTGACCTCTCCCACATAGGTAAAAAGGCAGATTTCCTAAGAGAAGTCATTCGCATCTAACAATCACACAAGAGTCAAGGGAATCCAACCATTACGGAGACCCCAACCTCACATGTAAGAAGTCGGTGTGAATGCAACCGTTATATATATATTTTGCGCAACCTTTATATATATATTTTGCATGATGTCAAAACTATAATATTTTAGTAACTCTTATGTGCATCTTCGCATTGAAAAACATAAAAACTTTTTTAGAAATCATTTAAAAAAGATTCATACATATCTTAGTATTAGGAAACATAAATCCTTTTTTTGGAAATTATTTAAAAAAAGTTCATGCATTTGAAAATCACTTAGAAAAGGTATCATGTATTAAAAACAAGTTTTTTTGTGTGTGAAAAATAACATTGTGTGTGTGTGTATTCCTCTATTATGACTTTTACAGGTCGACTTATGACTTACATAGATCTACACATGCATCAAAAATCTTGAAAATTTGCATTGTTTTCCAAACCTATTGCATTCCTTTTTTCTTATAACTTGCACATATATATACTTCATACATGTATCATTTCTTTTCAATGATTTTGGTAAAATCATAAACGAAACCTAGAACATATCAAGAGTCTTCTTCGCCGTCAACTTTGATTTTATGCATACACATAAATAAAGTGCACATAATCATTCATTATTTGGTTGCCATATAGAATATAGTTGATAACGTCTAATTTAGTTCGTGGTATTGTAAATTGAGTTGAGGTATTAGGGGGATTTCAAATAAGAAAAACAAGGTGGGGTTTTCCTTCAATATCAAAGTGGGGATTTGAAGATTTTGGACAAGATTACTCAAGTTGGATTGGATCGAGTGAAGGCTTTTAAGAGCTACAGTTCTTGCAAAGGAGTAACATGAGATGGTGAATCATCTTGGTAAATCTTAGGTTACAACACTTCGCAATTTGGATTTGATCAAGTGAAGGCTTTGAAGAGTTGTGGTTCTTACAAAGGAGTAGTGTGAGGCGGTGGATCATATTGGTACTATTGGGTAATAAAAATTCACAATTTGAATTTGATTGAGTGAAAGTTTTAAAGAACGGAAGGTTCTTGCAAAGAAGTAGCGTGAGACGGTGAATCAAATTGCATTGTTGGGTTACTTGATCAAGTTTGGCCGAGGGAGGAAAAAGTGTCAAAATCAACATCAAACTTGAGGTTTGTAGGGTTGGAGTGCTACATTTCTCTTGCATATGCATTTTGCAAAGTAAGGTTAATTTCATTATCTCAATTCGAATTCGAGTTGAGGGAAAACATACCCATAACGAGGCCGATTGGGGAACTTCCTAAACAAATCCCTGTGTACTCTTTCTCTCTATCTCTTTTATATTTCATTTGCAAATTGTTGAGTTCATAATTTGTGCGATTAATTCGTTTGGAAAATTATTTTGAAATCCGTTTGAAAAACATTTTGTTGAATTGATCACAATCCTTTTTTATTGTGGTTGGCTTTTAAGATCAACAAAACTATACAAATTTCCAAACAAAATCGATTGCACACAAGGTGTTCAATAATTTGTCTCAATAGTACTTCTGTGTGATTTATCATTGGATATAAAATTGCTTGTTGAATAGCTTTCAAGGATTGTGATTGAAACATATCCATTGAATGTATTATCATTATCTTTGATTGGATTTCATATACGTATATCCTAGATTTTCTATAGTGGTTCAGTTTAGACGAATCAATCCAAGTCACTTCCACTAGCCATTATTTTTTAAAATAGTTTTTGTAAAAAAAATTTTATTGGGGATCTATTCACTCCCTCTAGATAAGTCGCATTCGTCTAACATTCGGAGATTTTGATACAAGACAGTTAAAAAGCATCCAATCGAGGAATTCAACAAAAGTAGTTCTGAGGGGCCATAAGGCCATGCAACCGTCGTCATGTTACATCTCCGAAGTGGCTGACCACCCGAACATACATCAATAGTCAAGTGCAAAGTGGGATACCTAGAAACCCCATCTAGTCAAAGAAGGCGCCCTAAAGTGCAAAGTACACTCAACCCAGAATTTTGGCAAAAGAAAACGTTAAGAGACCTCGGGTACTGTCCATCCACGTCCTATACGCTGACGAAGGTTATGTACCTCTTCGTTTCATTATTTTTGGTAATAAATTCATTTCATTATTGATACATATACATATACATATACATATACATATACATATACATATACATATACATATACATATACATATACATATACATATACATATATATATATATATATATATATATATATATATATATATATATATATATATATATATATATATATATATATATATATATATATATATATATATATATATATATCTGTGTGTGTGTGTGTGTGTGTGTATATTCCTCTATTATGTACTTCTTTGTCTCTCTTTCTGTTAAAATGTTTGGGATAGGAAAACAGAAACAAAATGTCAGAGTGTACATCTGATATGGACTTAACGCATCTCTGCAATTCTGATACGGCTCAAGCACACTCTAGTCAATAATACGTATCTGATACAGACTATATGCGTCTTGTGATTATGATATGGCTTAAGTGTATTCATTTCCCAATTGCATATTCAGTACAGGCCTAACACATCTATGCAATTCTGATACGACTTAAACACACTGCTTGCATGGATGTGTATTCGATATAGACTTAATGGATTTATATAATTCTGATACGAATCAAACACGTTTCGTGGCCTATTATGTATCCGATAGGGACAACGCAATTTTGAGATTTTGATACGGCTTAAACGCACATCTCACTTCCGAGGCTTATTAAATGCACTTATGCATAGTTGGTGCATCCCTCCTTGGATCTAGCCAGTCCAATCATGTAGGTGGTGGATCCCAAAGACGTCCACCTCGATCTAAGCCAAGTTTCTCCTTCTCCACAACTTGTTCTGAAACTCTGAGCATATTTCACATATTTTACTGAAGAGCATCATGAAGCACCCACCTCAATCCGACCTCCTCATCCCGGAGAGCTTTCATGGCCTCTGCATTTTTCCGATGATTTTTTATCTGGAAAGCCTTTTCCTCGACAGAATCAGAAGTAACCTTATAATGCTTCTCTACATCATTGAGGGAATCCTCCAGCCCAGTCACTCGAGCGCCCAAAGCAGAGGGAAGACCACCACAGCCTCTTTCAAAGAGTTAGCAGTCTTAACTTCCTCTTGTAGTGCAACAAGCTCCTCTTGGAGATTAGTGCACTTTAACTTCATAGCTTCAACCTTCCTCTTCCAAGTATCCCTTTCTTGGGAAGGATTACCTTGGGCCAATACATCACCTTGTCCAGCAGAGACGTGAGAAAATATAGAATCAAATTTTAACATGCTATGAGAAAGCTCAAAAGGCATTTCCATCTTATCCCCATTAAGAATATTCTGGACGAAGGATAAATATGACATCAAGACAATAGAAGCAGCCTCCTCAAGAGTGCATGGAATATAAAATATCCAATATCTTTATAAATGGAGTTATTTCCCTAGAAGAACCTCCCTCACCAACTCGAGCCCATCTTGGAGGACCTTTAGTCTAGTGGGATTGTTGTTCCTCATCACAGACCCTCTTTTCTGAAACTGGAGGGTGCGTTAATTTTCCCACTCAGTTGGGCACCTTAAGAGCAACCCTTCTGCTTCTTCTTTCAGGCAACACTCATTTAATAAGTGGCCTTAGTACTCTTTGAGCATTGTGGTGAGATCTTGGATTTGCGCTTCAAGCTTTTCTCTTATTTCTTTTTGAGATTTCATGGTTCTTGGCCACAAATCCTCCACTCCTGGTTTTTTCGCTTCAAGATTTTCTCTTATTTCTTTTCGCAACTAAATCTTGTATTCGAGAGTCGATTACGCGAGAGGAAGGTATTAGCACCCCCTCGCTTCCGTTGTACTCAACGGGATCCACACTTGTTGTTCTAATCAAAGGGTGTGTTTATCTAAAGCCTACTTGCTAAGGGAAAAGGAAAGGAAAAAAACAAAAAGGAGACTCGATAGGGTTTCGTCGTCCTAGGCCTACGTATTCCCTCGTGCAATGGGAAAGTCAGAGTCAACGTAGTTCGGAGGACTACGGGTGAAAAGGGGAAGGGTGCTCGCCAAGACTTCTCCGTCTTGTTCCTACGTATCGTCATTCAGACGAGAATGAGGAAATCAGAGCGTTCGTAGTTCAGACTACGAATTGTTAAATGCTTTTTATGAGCGATGCTAAGTTTGCGTCCCAACAGCTAGGGTCGATGTCTATT